TACAGGGAATTCTCGTGACTCAGCCACTAAAAGTGATACCTGTAGGGAGGCCCGGTGGTTGGAACCCCCGACCGACCGGTCCCCTCGCCTGCCAGGAAGCCTCCGGCCGGTCAGAGGTCGGCGTGCAGCCCTCTCGTCCGTTGCTTGCACAGTTTTTGGTTCCACTGTTTACTTCCGTAAACATCTGTTGTGTCGATTGAATGCCGGTGTCTGGCAAGTGCTGTGTGCAGGCCTCCGGATGGTAGACGGGTCTTGTCTGGATGGCTTCTCTCGGGCGGCTGGCGGGCGCGTGTCTCGTGAGAGAACCTTGTTTCCAGTTTCCTTTCACCACTTAGTGGAAAGCACCATAGCCAATGGGGTTGTGGTTCAGCGAGGTGATGCAGTGGAAACCTCAGATGTGCACCTGCTGGAGGGTTCTGCCGGCGATTGGCGAGGGCTCGCCCGCCCGGGTCTCCACAGAGGGTGGACCTCCGCAGGGACCTCGCTGACCCTGTGTCTGCCCGCAGAGGATGACGGCAGAGGCGCAGCGGCGCGTGGTGCTGGAGTACCTGCGGGCCGTCATGCAGAAGCGCATCTCCTTCCGCAGCGCAGAGGAGCGCAAGGAGGGCGCAGAGAGGATGGTCCGGGAGGCCGCGCAGCTCCGCCACCTGTTCCGGAAGCTGGCCTCCGTGAGTGCCGCCTGGGCCCCGAAGCTTTCTCATCGCCCCCACCCCCCAGGGCCATAGGCCAGTTGGTCGGGGACCGGGTGACCTGTCGGTCTCCCTTGTGTGAACGGGAAGGTCTGGTGGACCCTGTGGCTGAGGCTTCGTGCACTGGGGCGTGGCTTCTAGACCCTTGGGGGGCAGCGCTAGCCAGACGCTAGCCTGACCCTCATGGGCAGTCCTGGGCTCACTCCCTGTGGACTGTCCCCGCCCTCCTGCCGGTAGCACCGCCATTGAGTGCTTGGTGAGGGCTCCACTGTGGATCCTGAGCTGGATCCAGAGCCACCTACGTAGGAGGTGGGGAGCCAGCCAAAGTGAGGGCTTGACAGAGACTCGTCGGGGTCCCCCTCTGTGGCCCTCAGCCGCTGGCGCCCTGTCTTCCAGGGTTTTGGGGAGGATGCAGATGGGTACTGTGACACCATCACTGCCGTCGCAGAAGTTATTAAGCTGACAGACCCGTCTCTTCTCTATCTGGAAGTCTCCACGCTGGTCAGCAAATACCCAGACATCAGGTAAGGGCCAGTGTGCCTTCCTGTTCCAGCTAGAATTCATGGCGCAGAGCAGCGGGCTCATTCCCAGGGTCACTGGGAAGATGAGAGAGCCTGGCTGTCAGCTGTGAGCGCCACTGGAGGCGCAGGGAGGGGAGTCCGGGCTCCTGTGGGGACAGACTGGGGGGGCGACCGCCAGGAGTAGAGTGGACGGCAGAGAACAGCAATGTCTCTGTGCCTCCCCTGGCCCTCCACAGGCCCCCCACATGGGCCGCGTCTCCTGGGGTCAGCACCAGTGAACAGGTGGGGCGTCGGTCACGCTCTGTTTGCTGGGGAAGGTGCCCAGCAAGGTGGCTTCAGGAAGCTCCTCTTGTGCTCCTGGGTCCAGAGAAGAGGGGACACGTGCCACACTCGACCAAGACACTCAGCCAGTGTCTTCCCTTTCTGCCAGTGTTCTGGGCTTCAAGCAGGAGGGCCTGGTGGTCCTGTTCTCCCCAGGGTCCTCCTGCTCTAAGCAGGCAGTCCATTAAAAATTTAGGAGAACAGAGTCTAGAAAGCTTTGTGCTTGTAGCTTGAAGAAAAGGCCACAGTGAGAGGAGAACTCTGGTTTCTCTGCTGTTGTTACGAGTGGTCTGCAGCTGTCCAGCCCCCTCTGGGGCCTTGGGGTTGGCTGAGCCAGGCGTGGGGAGAGCACTGGGGGAGTTCCAGTCGGGCCTGGGGGCCGGTGGCTGTGCGTGCACCCCTGACGCAGCCCTGGTGTCCCCACATCCACAGGGATGACCACATCGGTGCACTGCTGGCCATGCGGGGGGACACCAGCCGGGACATGAAGCAGACCATCATCGAGACGCTGGAGCAGGGCCCGACGCAGGCAAACCCAAACTACGTGCCCATCTTCAAGGAGATCGCGGTCCCCAGTCTGAACGTGGCGAAGCTCCTCAAGTAGCCTGTGGGCCCCAGCCTCGCTGTGGCGCTGTGCCCGTCCCCCACCCGCGGCCCCGGCCTTGTGACGCTGTGCCCGTCCCCCACCCTTGGAAATGCGTGGCGGCCAGAGGGACATGAGACGCCCAGGTCCCGCATGCCTGCCTCTGGTGGGACCGCGCTCGTGGCTTCTTGATGAGTGAGCTCTCTGATGGTCTTGGCTCTTCTGGTTTTCTCCTCTCTTGTCGTTTGAGGGGGCCTCATGGTGCCTGTCCCCCTTAACCCCTGGGTCTCCCCTCATTTCTGCACGGTGTAAACACCTCCAAAACTCTGCCGCTCAATAAAAGAGTCTAAACTCTTGCAGGAAAATGAAGACTTCCTGGTTGTGAAGGGTTTCTTCCTCGGGGTGACCTGGGAAGGTTCCAGGGCCCGGAAGCTAGTTTCTGGTTGACAGGTGTGCAGCCCAGGGACGTGCGTCAGCCCGGACCAGGGGGCCTGGGGCCTGTGTTCCGCAGCTCTGCATGGAGCCCCCTCGTGCTGAGAGTCCTACCGGGTGAGGTTGGACAGGCGTCCCTCTGGTACGCCCTCCCGTAGAAACAAGCCTGGCACCCGTGGGTATGGCCGGGCAGGTCCTCGCTGGAGACGTCGTGAGCGTCAGATCTGACAGACTCGAAGTGAACGTGAACGTTTATCTGGTGCGTGCTTCAGGGTCTGAGCTTACGCCTGACACGGGATCCCGTAGACCCCCCGTTGTGTAACCATCTCCACGGCAACTGCTTCAGCAGTGGCTTTGTTTGCACATTAGTCTTTCTTTAATCTCATGACAAATTAACAAAGAAGCCACGCCAGAGTGAACGATAGGGACCGTATGTGGGGTTTGAAGGGTCCTGACCCTTCCCCACGCTGCCGTTTGCCAAGGGGGTTCCTCAGATGCGCCGTGCAGTGCCGGCCACAATGAGGGACGGGGTGTTGCCCTGCTCCCCCACCCTCGCTTCAGGGGCCCAGGGACTGCAGACCCCTTGTGAGTGCGGCGGGGGCCACTCTGAGCAGCCGAGTCTGAGTCTCTGGGACGTGGGCTTCCCTTCCTCTCCAGCCACGTTCAAGGTGCAAAGCTGGTAACCACCTTTATTTCCTCTTCGCGAGATAAAAAAAATTCACACGTAGGACTTTTTCTGGAAGGAATCCACGCCTAAATGGGATGAAATAACTAAACATGGGATGCAGTTCCTAGAACCGTTACTGGTTCAGGAGAGGCGTAACTTTTCGACAAATGCGTAGTAACGCCCTGTCTCTTCGTGTACATGCTAAGTATGACGTCTTCATGCCTGCGTGGAGCAAGTGCCCAATGCTTTTTGAGCGCATACAGCGAAGAGTTAACGATCGTTAGTTATTGTCCCTATAATAATAAAAATACATCTATTTTTCCACCAGCTGAGAGAATTTTCACTCCATGTTACTTTGGAGCAAACATCCGGGGTGAATCTTCACACAATGACAGCAGACCCCAGTGATGCACATGGTTCTGGCCGGTCCCCTTGCCCTGATCGTGTGATGGTCACTCCGGTGTCCGCGGTCCCTGCTCACACCTGCTTCCACGCCTAAATGGGATGCCTGCGGCGATGGTGGGCTGAGCACTGGCTGCCTGAAGTGAATGCCAGATGCCGGCGCGTCCCAGACCCTGGGGACTCGTGGTTTTGAAGGCAGCACTTTGGCCAGGATGCGGTGGGAGTGGTGGGGACAGCAGAGGGCCGCGTCCTGGTGATTGGGTGACACCCAGGGGAGGGTCACCTCCAGGCCAGTTGGTGCCAAGCGTCCATTGGGGAAAGTGGGCTTAACGGGACAGCAGCCTCCAGCCAGTACCGGAAACAGGTTCGCGTCGGGCCACTGCAGACTCGCTGAGTCTCGGGGCCGCTCTCTTGCTGTTCAGTTGGAAGAAGATGCGTCCAGGGAGGAAATTTCCTTGACTCTCAAGTTTCATTCACAAGGGCTCCTGGTTTGTCTGTCTGACTGGGGTGCATTCTTGCGAGCTGATGCTCACCGGGGGTACTGTCCCTCTCGAGTCCACCACTGTACAGCCCAAACAGCTGTGACCCCAAAACACGGAGCCTGGAAGCACGGACACTTCTTTCTGTCCAGAGGAAATCTTCCAGGGAGGGTGGGCCACGTGGAGGCTTCTGGCTGCCCCACCCTCCCTCCTGCGTGGCGCGCCCGTCAGCCAGGCATGCCACGGGGACACCAGTGCCACCTGGGAAGAGACGCGGGACTCAGTGAGGAGAAGCCCGGAGATGGGCTCCCTGGACAGCCGGTCTGGGAGAGTGCAGGTGGGGCCCTGACGGACATGGGTGGGGTCAGGTGGCGTCCCTCCCAGCCCCGGAGCACCGGACGCTGCAGAGGCCAGAGGACTCCCCTATGGGACTGGACGAGCGAGGCCCTGCCCACACCTGGATTTCTTGGTCATAAGGCAACACGTCTGTAGTATTACGGCGGTCCTAGAACCCACACTCCTTGAGACCATCCTATCAGGTTTGAAACGGCTGTAAATTTACAGTAAGAAGTTAGATTCTTCTTATAAAAAAAGTATCTGTGGACTCAGCATTGGTGTGCCATTTTCTTTTATAATAAACATCTAAAATTTTAACTATTAAAAGATGCGTTTGTGCCACAAGACTTCAAGGATGACCAGGGGGTGTGAGATCCACCTGGGGGGGGG